AAGGTTCTAAATAAGTATTTGTAATGATGAATGAATTGAAAAAATAAATACCATTACTTAACCAAATTTGCCTGTTTAGATTAATGAGTTTGTAAGTATTTTCTCATAAATTCGCAGAAGAAAAAACATTGCAATAAATAGTGATAAAATGGTAGAATATATAAATGAATTTTGAACAAAATGTTTATTAAATTGCATAGGAATTAGGCCAATCCATTATAAACTCAATCCGTCAAAGACATTAATTAGTTAAAATGTTGTAATAATCTCTTCTTCGACAATTGCAAACAGTTTTAAGACATTTTCTGTAGCTATCTGATAATCTTTGTAAATGCCTAATTTTTGAATGAGTTCATGCATCAACCTACCGATTATTCTTTAATATATAAATGCAAAATAATGATGTTAAATTGACATCTATATAAGACTGTTCCATTAGTAAAACATATACTCGAACAGTTTTATTGCAAAAAAATGTTTTGGCTGATTTTGGGGATAAGTTTCCCGTTTTTACTGGCAAGTGCCTGATGTGAATAAAACTGGATAAAACTAACTTACATCCTTGACATATGGCAAGGAAATCCAAAATCCTGAATTGCCAGAGTTTCGATCAAGAGAAGAGGCAATTGCAAAATCAAGGCTTTAAGACGAACAAGAAACTCAGTCGATGTTACCCTGTATTTATATTTATATTTATATTTACAGATCTTTAAATGTAATATTTTTTAAACCAAAAACAAAATTGGTAGTCTCCATGGTATCCAACTTAACGCCAAAAGAAAATCATCAGATTCATTAATTTGTTAGTTTGGCGCATTTTTTGCATATCGTTTGTTTCACATAGAATCGCTTTGTGTGAAAACTCATTTGTTCTAAATTACGTTGTGCAACATTTTGAGTGGGAGAGGGGCGTGGAGCGAGGGGCGGTGGAGTAAATACAAATCAGGGCACTGCAAATATGGCCACACGTAAAAGTATGCAACAAAAAGTTGCAAATTCTAATTAAAACAAAGAACTTTGCGACACAATATTACCAAAAATGATGTGCAGCAAAAAGAAGCAGTGCAAATAGATCAACGATAGGCAGTGGGCAGTGGGTGTGTGGGCGTGTGGGCGACAGTGAGTCAATTAGGTACAGTGTTATCTAATTAGACGCCTACAACAGGGCAATCTACTAGCTCTTTGTGAAGTTATCTATGTGTGAGCGCGACTATCTCTGTGTGCATGCGTGTGTGTGTGTGAGTGTGTGTGTTCTAGTGTGTGTGTGAGTGTGTGTGTGAAGTGGTGCCAGGCGCCAGCCCATCATATTTTGCAATTCAACTCGCAAAAAAACAGAACAGAGCAAACTAACAAGAGATAGAAGCTTCTTGTTTGCCATTTTCTTTTTGCCTTTTGCAACACTGGGCGCGCGCTCAAGTTTCAGAACAACAACGGAAATGCAAAAGTTTTCTTTTCTTTTTTTTATTATTGCACAACGGCCGAAAAACAAAGCGCAAAAGTTTTCTCCAGTTGTTGTTTTTTCATTTTTATTTCTCATGGCAATTATGTGCTCGAAAAAAGCACACCAAAATAATGATAATGAAGGCAGCCAAAAGGATTTGTGAAGAAAAGTAAAATAAAAAAAATAATACCCAACTGCTAAAAAAAAAGTTTAGCAATTTTTTTGCAAACTCACATGACGGCGCATGCATGCGAATTGCAAAAGTATCTCACAGATACTCTCTGGTCGACTCCAACTCGACGTCGTGTTGTCGAGCTTGTGGGGGTCGTGTTGGTTCCTGTGCCTATGCCTTTGCCCTTGTTTGTTGGTAATTTGTTTAATTTGCTTACCTTCAACTAAAAACAATAAAAAAAACATTGAATGCCCGAAATGCTGCTGTTGAATTCTCACTACGAAGTACCCTGCTAATCTTTGCTAATTATAATAAATAACCTTAGGCATAAAATGTGAAATCACTTTGTTCGCGTTAAGGGTTAATAATTCAGCGGTTATCGACATTATTTAACTAGTACATTAATAGCAAATTATACAAATTAATAATTCTAATAATTAAGTTAATAATTCTATTGTCACTAATTAAATCACTGAACAAAAAATATATATAAAAAATACAAGGTCTATTTTTGGAAGAAAATCAATCTAAATGAACGTAAAAAATCAGTAAAAATAAATATATTCTTGTGTGTGTATCTATTATTGTAATAAAGTCAATCTAAATTTCACTAGTTGCAGTAGATCATTGAAAAAAAAGCTAATTCTATAATTCAAGCATATACCCGTTTTTGGATAGCTTTTTAGTGCAGGTATCAAAAGAAATAGAAATACAAGACCGATGAATATTTGGGTGCTTTTTGAAGGTTGACGAGCACCCGGCACCTTTTAGCTAATGGCTGTGCTGGCTATGATAAAGCGGCCAGAAAAAGAGAAGGAAAACAGACAACAACAAACTTGGCATAAACTAAACTACAACTAAATTAAAATATTTATAATTTTAGCCAAAGTTTTATCAATAAAATGCAAGCATGCACAGACGCCTTGTGGGGCAGGTGTGTGCATTTGTTAGCTGCAAGTCAGATAAGTATCTTTCGGATGTCTGCATTAAAAAGCTCAGATACATGCTGTTTGCATTTGTGTGTCTGTGTGAGAGTGTAGGTGAGAGCGACTCAATAAGTAGCCGCCAGCAATTGAAACATCAGCAATACTCGAGTTGGCAATATGAGGCGACAGCTCGCTCGACAATTTTGGCCACTTGACGCCCACACAGAGAGGACAAAGCAATCGTTTTGGCCATAACTTAAATCTGGCTTAAAAATCACTTAACACCAACTCTTGCTGGAACACTCAGAAAAATAATCGCCTTTCATTTTAGAATATCACTCATTCTTTTGGCGGCAAGAGTAACTCAACTTATTATTTAGAAATTATATTTTTTCCTTGCTTAATTTCAGTGTATTTTTTTTTTAAATTTGATGTATGCTTAATTTCCAGTGTGTGTTTTATATGTGCTCTTAGAAAAGCTTTTTGGTTACTCAAATTATTAATAAACATTAGTATTTTGAGATTTCAGATACACAAACATTTTAAATAGCTTATCCAAAATTCACTTAAAATATTTAGAAACGTTAGAAACTATTTCTAAAAACCAGAAACATTTTCAAGGTTTTTTCGGTTTTTCTGTGTGTACTATTCCCCCAAAAGGTTTCGGCCTGTCAGCACTAAAAGAAAAAAAAAAGAGCAAAAAACAAAGGCGCAAAAGGAAGACGCTGCTGCCTCTGTGTATCAAGTGCAATAATCAACATCTCAGACAACCAGACAGGCAGACTGACAGACGTGTCGTATACACACACACACACATAACTCTAGCTAGAATTGTCGCACATTTTATCTACAACAAGAACAACAATAATAATTCAAACATTTTCTGTAGACATCAGCAAATTCTCATGAGCTGACTGCTGCCTCGAGGCGTTCTCTGGAAACGTGCGATTTATTTTAACTCAAGCTGCCACTTGGCTAATCGAAGCGACAATCTTCAATCTCGCAAAAATCTTAAATATTGGTTTTTAAGGAAGATAAGCAGTGGAAGACTAGACTAACAGTAATACTGATAAATGTAGTTCAGTAAATATGGAATAATGCAATGCAAAAATAATAATAATCAAGTGATCATGTGGCAAGTTCAAATCGTAGACGAGATAAACAAATAAATAAATACCCAAAAGAATGAGGAGTAAAAGGAGCTATCCAATGTATTTATATTAAACATTGCACAGGAGAACCGTGTTCATATTGATTCCTATAATTTCAATAAACAATTTATTTTAAATATCAATTTTTATTACTCAAATAAATTGGCAGCCGACAAAGAAACATTTCAACAAATTTCAATACTTGTGTTAAAACTTAAAAAGAGTGAGAGAGAGTGGGAGAGAGAGAGAGAGTGAGAGAGAGCGAGCACTTAAAAAACTTTACTTGAACCATTCAATTGGATCAAATATGATGTTGAGAATCTTAAGCACTTAACGCCTAGCTGAACTAATTTGCTCTCGTTACAGGTTGCCCACAATCATTGGAATGGATTGGCTGAGGAATTCAGGCGCTGGGCGGATAACTTGTAACTTGCAACAGCGCTCACTAATGAACACTGAGAGCAGTAGACAACAAAAAGAGAAAAAGAAGCAAACCAAACCATTTTTCCTTTGTTTGCAACAAGCAACTCAAAAACAAAACAAGGAGCTGTCCAATTGAGCCACAACTTTGACCCCAGAGACCCCCGCAACAATAGCAGAAGAAAAGCACAAAATGAATAAAATTGATGAAATAAGAGGTTCCCTAGACATTCCTATAGCTTACACACTGTTGGCATAAAATGTGGACTTTTTGCAGTCATTGAAACAGCAAATAATATTTTAGATCAAAATTTTTTGGATAACAAGTGATCCTTTGATGTATCTGAAATACATATTATTAAATGAATCCAAATGAATTGAAGTGTATGTAAATGCTTAAAAGTATATGCCCACTGTCTGCTCTTGCGTACAGGGTATATAACAAATGCTGGCTAGTGTGAAAATCAATGAGCCTCCACGTTCACAGCTGGACAAATGCCGCCAGCTAGAGACTCCGGAGAGAAAGAGAGATAGAGATATAGAGAGACAGAGAGAGAGAGAGAGAGGAGCGAAAGGAAGAGCCAACAGCGCCTGGGGCCAAGTTTATTCGCATTTAATTGAATAATTGTTAGGCGGATCACGTACGAAGATGAGCTCGCCAAAAAGCAGAGCAAATCAGCACGCTTTAAAATAAGCATGCCACAAAGTAGGCAACAATTGTTAACTGTGAACAAAATTGAACAGTTTGCCAAGGCTAAAACAATGAAACAGCGTTCGGAGACTGCGTCAGTTGTAGAAGACCTGTAGAAACCTGTTCAGGTTGCAGATTTATGCGATGCATCTCAAATGCAAACCTGACAACGTATTCCATTGTGCAAGTTCAAACTTACCGTTCCCCAGTGGCACATTCGTCGCTTGCGGCTGCTCGATGGACAGTTTATTTGTTGCTGCTACAGCTGCTGATGCTGCTGCTGCTGCTGCTGTTGTTGTTGCTGCTGTCACCTGCTTGTTGACGCTCTTGCTCAGTCTCAAAATAGTTGTGGCAGCGGCTGCTGTTGTCGTTGTTGTTGCTGCCGCAGCTGCGACTGTTGCCGCGGGCGCCTTTAGCTTTTGCAGAGCGGCTGCCACCGCCTTGGGCGCCTTTGAGCTGCGCGTTACGCTCAAAACATGCGGCTGCTGAGCAACCACATTGCTCTTATTGTTGCTGCTGCTGCTATTATTGTTATTATTGCTGCTGCTGGCTGCAGTTGTTGTAGCTGCCGCAGCAGCTGTTGCTGTAGTCGAGTTTCGTATGACCAGAATAGATTGCGATTTCTCCAGTCGCTTGAGCGTCTGCAGCACAAATGGCGACTTGCTGTCGCAGTTGCTCTCCGAGCTGAGGCTGCGCGAGGCCTGCAAGCAAAGCGAGAATTGTGAGTAAAGTTGGTAAACAAATCCTAGGTAAGAACAAACATTGAATATCCTTGCAGATCGCCATACGAATCTGATCTTAACTGAATTTTAGTACTAGTTACTATTTCAATTATAATTTAAATCAATTCTTTATTGGACTGTTGCTTAAATCTAATAAGCATAATAAAAGAGGAAGACTGATTAATTGATTTGTTTGTTAGTCTAGCTAAGAGATCCTTTAAAGGTTTTTAATACAACAACTTAGCTTTCCTTTAAGATGGCTACTATACGATATAAATTTGATTAATTTTGATCATTCTTACAAATCTCATCTCTGTCGCTCTGCAAGGAATATGCGATCATAAATATATTAATTCTTACATGCTTTAGCATAAAAGGACGCTCGACAAGCTTGGCATTGTTGTTGGTGCTATTGTTGTTGTTGCTGCTGCTATTAACCTGAGCCTTGAGGACGCTTTCCAGCTGTGTGGCATTGATGGGCGTTTGCAGCAGAATCGTATTCGAATCCTTGCCACTGCTGGAGACTATGGAGATGCTGCCACCAGAGTTACCACTGCTGCTGATGCTATTATTGCTGCTGTTGTTGTTATTAGTTGTTGTTGTTGTTGTTTGGACTATTGTCTTGCGTGCCACAGTTGTTGTTGTGGGCAGCTGATTGAGCGTTAGGGCCGTCGCCTTATTCTGCTGCTGCTCGCTGAGCAGGCTGAGAATGTCCTGTTTGTTCTGTATGATGATCTGGCCATTCTCGTTGCGTGTGCCCCGCAGCAATATAATGCTGTTGCTGTTGCTGCTACTGTTATTATTATTATTGTTGTTGCTGATGGTGTTAAGGAGCTTATGTTGTTGTTGTTGTTGTTGCATGGCCTCGATCTTAAGTTTGGCAGCACGTAAACTGGTTGTTGTTGCTTGTGTTGTCGTTGCTTTAGTTGCTGTTGTTGCTGACGTATCGGCCTCATTGCAATGGCTAAGCTTGCCGCTGCTCTGCGCTTTGACCAGGCTAATACGGCTCAGGCCATTCTTTGTATGGTCTGCAAACAGAATAGAGTGGAACAGAATAGAAGGGGGGTTAGTATTATTACTAGTATCATCATCAAAGCTGTTTGCCAAGTTTCGCATAACTCAACGCCCCAAAATGGAAGCTCTTTTGTGTATGCAAAAGATGCAAAAGATACGACAGATGCCAAGCTAAACAGCATCAGATTTATGGCTAAAAGAGGAACTGGTCCAGCAAGCTGGAGCTGGGTGCTGCCAGCTGAACAGTGTTGCTCATTTGGCGGGAAAAACTTATAAGTTGTCTGAATCAAAAATAATAAATATAAAATGCCATTCATGCGAAAAGTGCACTTCTCTATTTATGAATTTAATGTATTTAAAAGCAGAGAGAATCAAGGATTATAAAATTTAAATTAAAGCCAACACTTCAAGCATAAATTACTTGGTTACAGTTTTTATAAATTTAAAAGTAATTATATATTTAAAAATCAATTTAATGCTGATTCCCAAACAATTTAATTTAAGACCTCCATAAACTGATCAACTTAATAATCAATTTAATTTTTAAATCAAGACTTTAGCTTTTTAACAGCATTCTAGAATATCTGGGAGACATATAGTGCTATAGATTTATAGATTTAAAAACAAAATTTATGTTTCATATATATATATGATATATCTAGAAACTGACTTACTAAAACTCGATTACATTTTAATTAACTGATCAACATAAGCGTTTCTATTTTGAAAAGCCGTCGAGTGTTTTAGCTGTAAAAAGTGGACAGCACTGTTGCTGTTAGCTGCAACATACTGTTGTATTAGATATTGATAGCGTTTGGGGCGCAACAAATATGACAAGCTGATGGGGCGACCCATTGTTGTGTGTTGGTTGTGTTCATATTGCAAGATGATCAGTTGAGCGTCACATTACGTATACGCGATGTGTGGCGTGGTCATTGGCTTAGACGGCCATTTTACTGGCCAAAACAACCAAAGGGGAAAGGGAGAAGGCAGCGAGAGAGAGAGAGAGGAAAGAGAGGGGCAGGCAGTGAGGCATTCAGGCTGTCCAGCCGCTAAATCAAGCGAAAGACGACATGTTTATGGCTCACACACACAGACGCGTACACAGGACTACTTAGCGGCTGGACACACACTGAAAGAACGCAATAAAAGTGCAACAAACAAACAGAGCGACGACAGCAGCAGCGTGGAATGGGTTAAGGTTTAAGGGTTTCAGCAAGGGGGAAGCCTCTACTCTAAAGTGTCAGGCTTGCATGCGTTGCCAAATATAGACTCCAAGGCTGAAGGCGACACGAAACAAAAATGAGCGCCGGAAACATTTAAACGTAGCTAAACACTTGTACACCACTATGAACATATACCCCTTTCTCTGCACCCCCCCCCCCCCCCCAGCCAATGCCCTGCCCCCCTGCCTTAAGTTGTCTTCTGCCGCTGCTGCCCAACCAACTTGGACGCCCTCAAGCCAGCTGTGTTTTTGTGCACTGTGTGTTTGTTTTGAAAACGTGCGGGTCATAATTAGCTGCTGGCCCCGTCTGTGTGACCATGCATGGATACACACACACACACACACACATGTATGTGTGTGTAAGTGTGTGTAGGAAAAGGTCGCCAAGCAAAAGAATCGGACAGCGGGCCTGGAGAGCCAGAGTCAGAGTCAGAGTCAGATCCAGAGAGCTGAGCCAGCGACCATTCATTCGGGGCGCACATACTTCATTGTAATGTATGGCAGGACACAGGACCTAACGCAGGACTCAGGCCTAGCACAACAACAGCAAGAGCTAAGTAACAACAACCACAACAACAACAACAACAATAGTGTGCTTGCAATGTTCGCGTAACACATAAAACACTTTTGCAAGAAAGGGCTTGTGGGGGTTTGAGGGGAGGAGGCCGGTTGTTGGGGCAACGGTTGCTGAAGCTTCGCATATTTTTGCGCTCGTCGCGGCTTTTGATGTGTGCACAGTGGGACGAGAGTCGGTTGGCAGCGTGCGAAAAATCAAGTCAGACAGACAAAAAGGCATTTAACAAATAATAATAAAATACTCAAATTCAAAGCATATTTTCACTTTCTGCATGGAAACTGTGCTTATTTCATATGAAAGTATAAATATATAATATTTATATAAACTTGCAAGGATAGCCATAATAATAAAAATTAGCTTGAATTGCATCTTTTAATTCTTTTTGTGGAATTTACTATAATGGAACTTAGTACGATAAAAATGTTCCATATTAGTGAAGTTTTTTATAATATATTTTATAGCATGTATAAAATGTACTACAAGAAATGTTCTATTTTAGTAAAATGTACCTAAATCTTTGCTGAATAATTTTACAACGCTCAAAATAATAAATATTAAAGATGCAAAAAATAAGAAAGCTTCATTTTCATAATATAACAAAGTCGATAGTCTAAGGCTTTAAATATAGTCACAAAAACACAAAGGAATAAACGAATATTCCATTTAAAATTTAGTAGAACTTTTCATTTTTAATTTGAAAAATAATTTGAATAAAATTTGCTTTATATGCATAATTTCAGAAAAGTTTTAGAAATTTAAATTAGAAGTAAGTTTCAGTGTCCATTTAAGTTTTCCATTAGCAAATGTAGCATGTAAAATTGCAATTGTATTTGACGCCTGGTTTCAGCTAGTTGCAACCACTGTGCGTGCAAACGCACGTGGCATGAAGCATGACAGGGTGAAAGAGACACGGGGTAAGAGGAGGTTAGAGGGTAGAGGGCAGAGGCAGGCAACACAGCTATGCAACACGACAAATTGCAAGTCTATTGAAATTTTATTAGAAACATAAATCAAAAGCAGGCCAAAAGAGAAGAGTTCTTCTTTTGTTTCATTTATAAGCCATGACACTTAATAAATATGCAACAACGAATGGAGCAAATAGATGAGAGCGCACAGATAATGCCAAAATAAATCGCAGCATGCTCCAAAAGAAACCGCATCGCAAATGTGTCCTTGAGTTGAGGTAAAACAAAACAAAACAGAAACAGAGAAACACAAACAAAAGCAACAGAAACAGAAACAAGTGGAAAAGAAAAAGTCTAATTGGAAAAACCAATAAGACAACGCTAATCGAAGAAGTGCACTTATCACAACAGATAACAGCAAAACTCATCGATAATTATGTTATGTACACACACACACACACGCACACACATATGGAGTTTTACTTACTTTGGTGTGGATTTCGATTCAGATTCAGATTCATGACCAGCGACAGCAACAACTACGGCTACTTCTACGATGAGCGGGAGCGGGAAAAGCAATTTGTTTGGCCCGTTTTCCATGCCCCCTAAAAACCCCCCTTCTCAGCAGCGAACGAACTTTTCTTTTGTTGTTGTTGTTGGTTGTTGGTTGTAGGTGTTGTTGTTGCTGTTGCTGCTGTTGTTGTTGGCTACTCTTAAAATAAACACCTGGTGGGCAGCGCACCTGCAGTCGACTGCATCTGCATCGTTGCGCATTAACTTAACTGTTCTCTGTTAAATGCCATTTTCACACACAAATAGCACAACATCTATATGTATGTGTGTATTTTTGTATGTATTTGCACACACACACTCATATATGTATATATATATATATCGCTATTTACATATGTATGTACATATGTTGGCAGCACAAGCAGCAGCAGCAGCAGCAAAATTCTCGATATCCAGCAGCACAGGAAAAAAGGTAAACAAAAAAACTAATTTGCACAGCGCCCGTTTGCGTCTGACGCGCATCCGTTACGCACTCGATTTGTTGTAGTTTCGCGTAGGCGTTAAATGCTATACAAAATTCCGTGTAAATATAAATAATTTCAATTATAAATATTTTTAAGACGGTCGACAGAATGCGGTGGCCGGGCGATATGTGCACAACTGTCTATCGAAATGTTGAAGTGTCGATTGTGGTCCAACAACAGTGATGCTCCTCACTGCTGTTGAAGGCTCAACAGCTGTTGAGCGGAGACTATAACCACTATAGAGTAGCCACATTGCTAAAAAAATAACATGTCAAACGCCAATTTTTGGTCAATGTTGCCACTACACTATAGAACGCGCGCAAATTTGGATTTGAAAAGCTATAGTTTCATTTACAATGTTTTCAATGACCTTGTCCCAGACTGTTATTTTGCAAGCGCTGCAATTCATGAGACCATAAAGAAAACCGATCTGCTTATCGTGACACCAAAAACAACAAAAACCTTCAATAAATATTTTTTCCTTTTAAACAAAACTTTCGCTGTTTCCCCTTGCCACCCCCTTCCTCTTTCTCCTCTCTCTCTCTCTCTCTCTGTCTCTCTCTCTCTCTTTCTCGCTCTCTCTCTCTGCCTCTCGACGGGAAGTCTCACACTATCTCAGCCAACGGCCGACGAAGCGAATACAGAATAATTGCCTCGCTGCTGTGCCAGTCGGTGCCATAGCGCCAACAACTACAACTACAATTATAGCGACAACAACAATAACAACAATATGACAAAACACTTATCTGTGTTGTCGCTACTACAACTGTTGATTGTTGTTGCTGCTGCTGTTGTTGTTGTTGTTGCTGCTGTTGTTAGGCTTGTTATTTTATTGTCGCGTTTGTTGCACATTGAAAATAATATACAAAATAATTGAATTACTCAAACTCTCTGTTGTGTGTGTGTGTGTGTGTGTTTGGGGGCGTTCAGTGCTGATAAGCGTCAAAGTCAGAATAAAGCCAGATCATTTAGTTAACCCGATAAGCAGCTAAGCTTCATTTCATTTGCATTAATTCTAAATATTGCTTAGCACAGCTCTCTAAACAGGGTGTTCCCAGTTTACGGCGATAAGCAGCACTCAAAGCCGTCAATCAAAGAAGCGTGAAATGAAAACGTGACTTGAGCTGCGCTTTAACATCGTCACGTATGTAAATTATGCTGTTAGCGTCGCCGTCGCTGCCGACGTCTCTGTCGCTGTCGGCAGCGTCCCGCACCCAGGCTTAAATAAAAATTGAAAAAAAAATGTGTTTTTTTTAGCGAAGATTGTGCTCAACTCACAAAATACCAGCACGTTTTCGAAAAAGCCAGTTTTTTTTGCGTTCAGTCTGCCATTTGATAAGTGCACAAAAATGCATTTAAAATAACATTTTGTTCGACGACGATGATGACATTTAATGCATGCAACAGAAAACAAACCGCCCATTTATTTATTTGTTTTTGTTTTCGGTTAATTGGGCCTTTGAACTCGAGCAGAAAACGATGATAATAAAATCAGGCACGACGACATCAACGCAATAACAACAAAAACTTGATTTAAAACAAGGCCCCCCTTGGCAGCAGTCAACGCCCCCAAATAAGGCGGCGACGGCGACCATATCGATAACAGGCAATAAAAAAGCGTAAATCATGTGCAATAACAAAATTAAAAGCCAATATTCTTTATAATTTGCATGTACTGCGAAAAAAGGTCCCGCTTCTATGCATCACAGATTGGTTGGGGGAGGGGGTGTATGATATGACAACAGCACGCCAATAAAAACTAAAAACGCCCCAGCAATTGCCTGAGTTGCCCTATGAACGAAGCGATCGAGCGCAAAACCCTCAATGAAAACCAAAAGCGCAGAGAAAAAAATTAGCTCCAAATATAGTTGTTGTTGTGGTTGGCAAAGAAAATGGCAAAGGCAGCAACGAAGCCTCTAACTGTAAATGGTCAATATTGCAGTTGTTGTTGGTTGCTGAGCGGGAGAGTAATGCATGCAGAGAGAGAGAGAGTGTGAGAGAGAGAGAGCGCGTAAAAATCACAGGTAGCTGCAATACCGGGATAACAGTGCAAGCCTTGGACACTCACACACACACATACAGACGCATACAGGTACATGTTTAGCCGGTTTCGGGGAGCATCAACACACTTGGCCTGTCGATGCAATGCTGCAAAACAGCAGTAGTCAAAATGTGGCAAAAATTAAAGGAAAATACTCAACAAAAATGTGCGCATTGCATTTAACTTGAGCACTACCAACAACAACAGCAAATAACAAAGACAAAGACAACATGGCTAACGTTCAACAATAATTAAATCTTCGTATGTACACACTTACATATGTATGTATATACAATCATACAAACACATACACACATACATATGCATTAGTATGTACATTGTACATTATACGCCTGACTTAGGAAACCAGTTTTATTGCAATTCAACCAACCAAACACAAAAACCCAAGAAATTACGTATCACAAATCTACATACATACATACATTTGTACATACATATGTAAGGCTATTTGTACATATGTTGCATGTATTTTTCGCCGCTATTGCTTTGCTCTTCTGCCCTCTCCACAACAACAGCGACAACAACAACAATTTTGTCTTTGAGTCGGGTCTTTGTTTTTACACAAGCAAAGCTTACCAACACAAACACGCTTACACACACATATATATATAAATATATATATGTATGTATAAGTCTGCATACAAAGGTATTTTTTATGTTTGCCAACTCTAGTTGCAAAAGTTGAACGAATCTTGGTTATTAGTTGATTCTGTATGCAATGGTAAACAGTCTAACAAATTGTGCACAAAACAATTCCAGTCGAAATGTAAAACAATTGAAAAGCAACAGGTAAAACTTAAATACATACACACACGCACACAGGCACAGAATTGAGCGCTTACTCATTCCAATGTTTGCTTGCTTCAACCACAAAAGAGAAAACTACGCTTAATCTCCTATATCTGATACGGTCGGGCATTTTGTTATATTGTGACTTGTGCACAACGATATAGTAAACGTTTTTCAATGAACCCACATATTTTCATAATATTAATTGACAATAAATAACCTTAAATATAATAAATGAAAAAATAATCTACTTGTTAAAAATCAAGCTTACTTCCCACTCAAAGCAATATCATCTCAGTTGCAGCGCACACCGAGTGTCTGCTAAGTCGAGTGCACAATTCCTAAACGAACAATAACTAGTTTTACGTCTGTATCATACGAACCAGGGACGTTGTAAAATATTTTTCGCTCATTAGCTTTTCCGCCTGCTTGGCACAGAGTTGCTCTCATGGAAATTGGCCACTCTCAAAATGCTCACAAAATGCAGTGAGAGATTTAAGCAGAGAGCAGAGTGTGCATCCCTGGCAGGTGCAAAATGAAACGGCCTCATAACTTTTTGGTCAACGCAACGGCAGCTCGAGCGTCAGTCTCTTGCGCGTGATCGGTAAAAACAATTCGGCGGACCGTGAAGGTGGTGAGGATATTCCATCGTCAGTGTCGATGTGATTGTTGTTGTTGCTGCTGCGGCTGCTGTTATCTTGCTTGTTGTAAATTTGCGCAGTACATTTAAAAAAAAACGCCACACAAACAAACCAAAAAAAAAGTCCGCATAATACAGAAAGAGAGCGATAGAGAGCCAGACAGGAGGAGATAGAGATAGAGAGAGCGCGCGCGAAAAGAAAAAAATAATAAAGTAAACGGTTGTTGTTTTTGTGTTTTTGTATTTTGTACCAGCCGCAGCATCCCGCCATTGTTGCTGATTTTGTTATAGTTGTTGTTACTGTTGTTGTTGTATTTGCATCGCGTGTAACTGTAAAACTGTGCCGCCATCGTCGTCGTCGTCGTAGTCTCCAGCTGTGCACCCTCGCCCGCATCGCGTCGCATCGCATCAATTGCACTAATTTCTTCAATCAGCGCACAAGGCAAGATTCACTCACATTTTTAACGAGTAAAACTAGCGAAAATTGTTTAACAAGTGAATAGTATGTGTGTGTATTAGTATTAAGTAAATATGTATGTAAATTTGGCCCATTGTCCAAATTTAGATTCTAAATCCGGAATTGACTCGAAATAAATCGCTTGACGAGATTGCTCCTTGTGAGCGGTTGTTTTTTTTTCCCTCTTGCTATTTATTTTTCTTTTTTTGCGCCTTCATCATCTGCAAGAAGAGCAAGTCATGTGGGCGATGATCGTTAAGAGAGAGTAAGATTAATAATGAAAAGTAATTGGTCGCTTAGCAAGAAAGAGAGAGAGGTGGAGAGAGAGCAGTCACGCGTGTTTAATTTGATATTAATGTGAGGTTTGACAAAGCTTTTCGCAGCAAACTAAAGTTTAATTACAACATGTGCATGTACATATGTATGTGTATGTGTGAGTATGTATGTATGTTTGAGCTGAGTGCTCTCGCACTTGCCAGAAGCGGCGGCGTCGTTGTCGCTGCTATTTGCTCTAATCTCGATTATCTCAGCGGCAGCGAGCGCGGCAATCTTAACAATTGTTTATTGTTTTCTCTCCTCCTCCACGCTCTCTCTATCTGTCTCTCTCTCTCTCTCGACTTTGCATGTGTGTGTAGAGCTGAACTGCAAGTGAATTAAACGAAACGACTTGAAAAAGTTGAAGCTTTGCTTTTTTGTTTAGTACGCAGCTGTCTCCCGACGTGTACGTTACGTATTGGCGCCGTGGCGCCGTAAAATAAAAAACAATAAATTAATACAACAAAATAGCGGTGAAAATCTTGTAACTAACTCTGTGCGGGACTCTGCAAAAAGTTTTGTTATTTGAGCATCGATTTAACGCCTTGATACACAAACGGTATGCGTGTTTTTGTGTGCTGCTCTCTGGAATGAGAGTGTGCAAATGAAAGCAAAAGTGCAAATGTAAAATTACAATATAATGGCCATTAAGTGTGTCAGTGTGTTTAATTATATTTAAATTGCTAGGCTCTCATTTTCTTCTTTTTTGTTGCTTAGCACGCACACACGCAAGCGCAGTACGCAGCAACTGCTAATTATGAAAGTTTTTATTGTTTTTTTGATTCGAATTTTGGGAGCCCTCGGGGCTGCTTATTTTGTTCGTGCGTTTATTTCATCGTTTGCTAGTATTGCACAAGCTTAAGCCTTTAATAAAACGTACATTTGTTTGCCAACAACATCGATTTGTTGTTGTTGTGCAAGCAAACACACCTCTGTGTGGCTCAACGCGCCCATTAGTGTTGTGACCATGATTGTCCCAAAAGAAAGTATGCTGCTCGCTGCACTGCTTATTGCTGAGAAGAAATCATAAATCAACGTTTACCAACACGCTGCTCTATGCATAAATAATAGCATGCCATATGTAAAAAAATAAAATAGGGGCAATACAAAATAGTTCGCAGGCAAATATTTCACAGTCAGTGGACACAGCTCGCTATTGAAGTACCGCAAGTAACTGTCTTCTTCTTCATCATCATCTTTGCTCTCCACATGCATATTCTCGTATTTTACAATTTTTACAACACTGCGTCGTCGTTGTCTAAGCACACGCATTCTGCATGCTAAACTGATCGTTGTTTTGTGGGTTGGTTGGGGCGTGGTGGAAGATAGGGAGGGGGAGGAAGGGAGATTGCGGCGAGCGTCAGTGACTTCCGCGACGTCGAGCTGTCGTCGTCGTCGTCGTCATCATCATTGCGGTTTTAGTCGGTTGACTTTGGCTTGTCGACATTATCGCTTTTGTTCGTCGCTGCTGTCAGCTGAGCTGAGAGCTGCTTATTTTTATTTATTTTATTTTATTTTGAATTTTTTGTTGTTTGATTGCGCAGCAGTGACGGGCGGCAAAATAATTGCGCACAATTGCCAAATACAGGGTGTTTCACTTTTCATTTCGTTTTGCCAAGCTGTGCTCTTTTTCAATTTTTGTCATAGTTGTTGTTGCTGTTACTGCTGTTATTTTCTGTTATTGTTGTTGTTGTCATCGCACGCCGCTTTTGGATAATTTGGCTTTCGCTTTTGTGCCATTATTGTTGTCGCTGCTGCTGCTGTTGCTGTTGCCTAATGCCCCAGCGCCAGCTCTCGTTGCCAGTCCCCAAATCGGTTCCAAAAATGAATCAAACTTATTTTGAGGCTTACAGTGTAAATTCGATATAGTAAACGGAACAGCAACAACAACAACCTGTTGAAGTTAACAAATCAAATAAACCGGTTCCCAGTTGAGTTATTTGCTTGCTTTTTAATTTAACTAAAACCAAATAAACAAATTCCAAATAAATGAGTTCATTCAAACTAAAACTAACAAAAACAAATAAATGGTTTAAATGAAATTTATGAACCAGAACCAAGCGATATCTTTGTGGTAATAAAAAATATATTTCTAGTCATTGCAGCGAGGCTCTACTGTAGTCTGTGTGTGTTCGCGTGAATTTGCACTTTAATAACAAAAGGAAAAAAATAGCACAGCTTCATTTATATTTTGCAAGATCTTTTCTTAATTATGAGACACACACTCAAACACACAGCACGAAATGTGAGAATTGCACGAGAATATCCCACAAAAGGTCCGCAGACTGACAGACAGACAGACAGACAGCCAGCCAAGGTGTGATTTTTATTAAGATCCGACTTGAGAGACTGTTTGTTCTACTTTTGTGTGAGTGCATATATGCATATATATCTATCTATCACATGGGTGTGTGTACTGTTTCTTTTTTCTTTTTTTTTGTGGATTGTTTCTGAGAAACTCGGGCTTATTGTCTTGGCTTTGTCTTTGGAGGTTACACTGTGACGACCAGCTGACTGTTGATTGTATCGTATACATAAATGTATACATGCAGATACAGTGCTCGCTCCTCAAAGATAACACAGGTTTTTCGTTTATAAACCAACTTTGAGTTTATGCAACAAAATAGTAAAGGAAATATGATTTTGTTTTATTTGGAAATTTATAAAAAGCAGCAGATTTGATTAGTATTTATTTATAGCGAGTGACTACTGTGGCGAGTAGATGTTGTTACTGCTTAACGCTTACTATTTACTGCTGGCCACTCGGCCAACTGGTTTGGCTGACACGACTGACGTTTGACGATTGTCGTTTGTCGTCTGTCGTCTGTGTGGATGCAGATGCACTGCACTGATGGGGATTGGCTTACCAGCTGAAAGGAATGCATTCAGATTCATTGCAAGCCGTTGTATAACAACGCTAATTAGCAGTATAATAGCAATACAGCAAAACATTGCCATCGTCTGGGGACAAGCGTCGGAATTTTGCAAATTAAGTTTCAGCTGACAAGGAAAAACCCCAACCAAGCACAGCCCGACATCGACACTATCGCTATTCACCCAGCGGCAAATTCATCATCAAAACAAGACGAATTGAATTGAAATACACAAACAAAAAACAAAAACAGAAATGAAGTAAAAGAAAACACTGCGCAAATAAAACTAGAAGATGCCCTGTAATCAGCGGCGAATTTTCGTAATTTAAATTTGTGTATTATGCTCAATTAAAAGCGTCTGTAAAGCGATATTTATCGATAAGCTGGGGAGTTATCGCGCATAGGATTACCTGTTTAAGATACATTTCAAAATGTAGCTTAGTAGATTTTTATAGTTTATATTCTGTCTTATATATATATTGGTTCAATTTCCGTTTTATTTTTAATGTTCATTTTCAACAAAGTCTCTTAAAATTTCATTCGCAATTCGTACTAGAATTATCGTAAAATAAGTAATATACCCCTCTACATTTAAGGGGTATAAAAACAAGTTGAAACAAAGTTCAATCCGAAAACGACCGAATCTTAAATGTAAAATCTCATATAATAATTTTTTTCAATTTACAGAATCCGCCCCCATCCCCTGCCGCACACACAAACAGACGGCCACCCACACACATACACACAAACACATACACACACACACACAGTTAGATATTGAAAAACTATAAAAATGCCTTATCAGCCAGCGGGCAATAGCAGCGGCGGCAGTAAAACGGCAAAAATGTCGCAGCTAAAGTTCTGGAACAAGCAGAACAACAACAAGCAGCAGGAGAAACAGCTGCAGCAGGACAGCAGCGGGGAGAGCATCATTGATGGCAGCACTGGCGGTGGCAGCAACGGTGGCAGCAACGGCGTCAGCGGAGGCGGTGGCAACTCAAAAAGCGAGTCGAAAAGCGGCAAACGCAACTGGCTGCATACGCCGGAGCAGCTGATCAACGGACACGCCGTCTATCTAGTCAAGGTGAGTTGAGCTCCCTCAGCTGTGACCGGCTGTGCTCAAGATACATTTAACATTTATACATTTAACTAACTTGTTGTTGTTGTTAGTTCTTTGGTAACCTGAGCGTGGACCAGCCCAAGGGCATTGAGGTGGTCAAGGATGCTATACGCAAGCTGCAGTTTGCCCAGCAAATGAAGAAGGCGGAGACGGGCACACAGGAGAAGTTCAAGAAACTGGAGATCACCATTAGCATCAAGGGTGTCGCCATTCAAGAGCCGCGCACACATAAAATCTTGCATCAGTTTCCGCTCTACAACATCTCATACTGTGCGGACGAGAAGGGTGTGAAAAAGTTCTTCAGCTTCATTGCCAAGACGGTCAAGTCCAAAGACAACACAATGGATACTAATGGCTACAGCAACAATAGCAGCAACACTAACGGCAACAATGGCACCTCAAAGCCAGAGGAGACGCACGAGTGTTTTGTATTCATTTCCAATAAGTTGGCCTCCGACATTACGTTGACCATTGGACAGGCTTTCGATTTGGCCTACAGGTGCGTGGTTTCGCATAATAAATATAGACTTATTGATATTTGTAGTTGACCTCGATTACTTATGCTGCCTTGCTTTGATCTTTTGCCACAGAAAATTCATGGACAGCAATGAGAAGACGAATTTAAACAAGGCGCAACAGCAGATTGAGCATCTGCAGCAAACGATTGCTGTCTATAGGGATCGCCTGCGTGAACTGTCCGCCAAATTGCCAAAGGCCGAGCTAGATGCCATGTTGTACAAGCTGGGCATCAAGGATATTGTCGAGGCGCCCATCCAGGAGCTCAATGGCAACGAAACGTTGAGCAACGGCAAGCTAGGTAAGCGTAAGCATAGCATAGCAGCATAAATATATATGTAAATTCCTACGTTCTAAAGCTTCAAATGTGCATTGAACAGATGAGGACAAGCTGCTGATTGATACCAATTCGACGACGGCCTCAACGCATTCGGCGTCGCCTAATTCGTTCTTGCCCATTGTGCCGCCACGGAGCAATCTGTCCAGCCAGATGAGCAGCAGCAGCAGCGGCGGCGGTGGTGGTGGTGGCAGCAAGAGCAATAGCCAGAAAATGGATGAGCTGCTGTTGAATTCGGATTCAGATAGCGATTTTGATCCACGAGCCGATGAGATACAGGATAATCTCAGCAATGGTCGCAATGCCATTAGCAATGATCTGTTTGGCTTTGAGCCATCGAAGAGTTTTGGCCAACAGCTCTTTTTCAACAACAACGATCACAAGCTGCAAAACAACAACAACAGCAGTCTGAGCAATAATAACAACAACAATAATAACAACATGAGCATCAATAGCAGCGGCTTCTCCAGCGAGCTAAACATAACGCCACCATTATGTAGGTTTATATTGTATAATATTGTTAACTTTATTATCATTGTTATCGGGTATTATCTGTACATTTTCAGTGGCGCCACCGCCAAAAATTGGGGCGCCACGTCGTAGCACCTCGGTGACCAACAGTGGCCTCAATGGCAACACGGACCTGTTTGGCTCCGATCCATTTGAAATGAATAATGGACCCAGCGTGTTCAAGGTGAGTGCTCCGATCACACATCCATTTATGTCTCTATATATATAATTTGTATATTCGTATATAATTTCAGAATCAGCTGAACATTGATGATTTCTCGTTGGAGAGCTTGGATCCGTTGCGGAAGTGAGGGCGGAAGGAGAGCTGGTGCTAATTACGCCATTTGCGCAACACGAAGAAGATGAAGAAGAGTTGTGTTACTATATATGAGAGTATACAGTTTGTATCTTAGCTTATTTCCGATATTTGCCTGCTGCTGCTGATGCTGCTAAATTCATGTTAAATTTTTGAGTTGAGTTTTGAGCTTGAATTATAAATATTGTATGTGTATGTGTATTATTGTTTATATAATTTTATATTGCATATTATGTATGATTATTAATTATGATTATTATATATTATATATTATCGAATCCAATGCACTTTGTTTAAACGAATCAATTGTTGCTGTAGTTAAATAGTTTAAATGAATGTCAATTGTCGAGCAAAACGTAAAAGGTAAAAACAAAAAAAAGAAATACGTCAGAAACGTCGTGATAATGTGCAAACGCTAAAAACCTAAATGTGAGAATTTTGTATAAAATAATTGTAAAGCTAAACGAATATTATAAATATATCTATATTCTTATATATACATATATATATATATGTGTATCCTTCTGTCTAAACATGTCTAAACCAAGCACACGCAATTAATTATTGTATAGCTCAGCAAAATGAACAATATTTATTATTATGTAAAATAAAATGTAGTGCCTAAAAATCGTTTCGATGTTGGACTTGTTTTTTTTTCTTATTTTGTATTATTTTCTGTTTCACTTTATTGCACAAAAACACGCTTATAAAATATGCAGGTGATTTTCAACTTGATATATAACAATAGTAAATTTCCTTTGCTTTTAACAACAATTAGAAACTTAACACGTTACTGCCATGAATACAATATCAAATACAAATCGTAGTCGTGTTGCTGCTGTATTTGGGAATGTTTGCCTATAACTAGTGATATATCATTTTTACTCTCTTTAGGTTGCACTTAAAACTATTGTTGCTGTTGTTCCTAGAAATCCTGAGTATCATTTTGAGTGCCGCACAGCTAATCCGAGTCGCTGTACCGCTTTGGCGTAGTTGCATTCAGCTGACGTGCATTCATGTCCGAGCTCTGGAATATGGAGACGTTTCAGTATTCCACAAAAACAAGCAAAGGTATTCGTGATGTGTGCTCTGGTTTTAACCGAAACCAACATGAACAAAATTAGGTTTTACAAAATCCTTTCAGTAGCCAGCCAACGCTTAGCTAAGAATGTGTTTGAGATGATATGATAAGAAACCAAATCACATGTTTCTTGTAATAATATCTTAATATATTATTTAAATAGATTCAAGACAAGCAATATCGGAAAAAATACCATCTTAAATAATATGGAATTAATATCAGCGACTTTGTCCAACTAAAGAATACGAACAGAAACCGACCATGATGGCGAAGATGATTATTTGTGTGATTGGAACAGTCTTATAAGTTCTTTAAAAACCCATAAATATAACGCCAACGATTGGAAAAATTCTGAAAGAAAGCATAAATAAGTCAAGATAATTAAGAGAGTAAAGATAATTAAGTAAATCAAAAACATTGCTTGGGATTTCAAAAGGGAAGGATTGTTTTCGTTTTTTTTTTTGGTTAGCCGTAAAATATGCTATATTTAAGATGGCTTAGTCTGGGGAACCAAGAAGGAATACAAACGTTCCAAGACACGATAACTTGTTATTTTCAAAAACAAGAAATAGTTGAGAGAAGTTTGAGTATAACATGGGGTGCAAATGAAACATTATCTTACTGTGTGCTAAGGGACATATTAGGCTAAATCCGATTAAATCCATTGTTAAATACTTTCAACTTTTTGGGGAACATGGAAAATGAGCAAAATATGAAAACTGTGTGTGTTGTTTTTGTGCGTGTTTGTTTGTATAGAAATTTCAACAGTTTATTTGCTTAAAACTTCAGTTGAACTTAAAAAACATATATGTTTATTTATAGTAGTTATATGTATATGTATCTATGTAAATATTGTGTGCTTGATAATAAACCAATATATAACTTAAAACTAATTCACATTTAATTACGTAACCTAATTTCGCAATTATTTCAAGACTTGTATTTTTTATGTGGGTGCATCATCTATATAGATTAATCGCAATAAATATATGTATATAATTAAGACTTTATCGTGTCTATAACAGCTTAAATTAAATTATGAAAAATAAACCCCAGAGAACAACTCTGACCAAGGCCTACAAAATTCCCATTAATCGCATATGTACAGATTTTTGGAATGTCAACTGATAAATGACAACAAGAATTCAACAAACTGCAAACTATGCCAAATGTGTGGAGAAGCAACAAATGCACAAATAACATACAAATAAAACTGAATAGATATTAAATATTATTAATTAAACGCTTTGGATTCAATGCGGGATCTATGGAGCTGGATCTGGAGTTATCTCTGGCTTGTGGGGTAGACTGGGGTTTCATGAATGGTTGATTGGTTGATCGGTTAGTGAAAGGAAGGGGGTTGCAGGCACACTCAGCCAGGCCAATTTATTGGCTAACAGCGCTCGTCTTCTTCGGCTTCTTGATGTATTTTACCTGATTCGACCAGTCACCCGTAGGCACTGTTGCGCGATAGAACTTTGAGCTCGTCTTGTTGAAGATGGGCAACAGCTCGTTGGCCTCATCCGAAAGCGCCTGCAACACAATGGAGAACCAGTAAGCACAAAATGAATTTGATATTGAAGACATTGAGAGTTTACCTTCAGGTAGACGATGGCATCGGTGCCGAAGCCTTCGCAGGAGAGCAGCACGATATCGCCGTGGAAATAGCGTGCATAGAGCCTTGAGATGGGCAGGCCATAGCCGTAGCCGGCCAGTGGTGCTGTGTGCAGATCCGACTTGGATGGCTGCGGTGCTGTGCTGTACATATACTTGAACAGCTGATCAGACTGAGAGCGTGGAATGCCGCCGCCCTGATCGGAGATCTTCACACAAATATCCTCCTTGCCCCGAGAAATGGCCACCTTCAACGGCGGCAAAGTATCACAGTTGTTACGAGTGTGATGCTCAACAACGGCTCGCATCGAGTTCTTAAATAGCTCAAACAGCATATAGTACAAATGCGACGGCACATAAACGGTGTTTATGGGCAACGGCTCGTCCGTGATGCTGTACTGCTGTATTTCCAGTTCGGGACTCGCCAAATAGTATTGATCACAGAGGAAGCGAGCATTCTCGTACGCATCGCGCACCACATCCGACAGATCACAGCAGGGATCCAAGCAGCCAATGTGCCGGCCCAGCGAATGCGGACTCGAGCCAAACAGCAGCGCTGCGGAAAGTGTTGAAAATACATAATTAATTATATGTTTCAATGAATAAATAACTTATTTCAAAATGGGCATATTTAAAGCTTAAATTCTTTACTTTTTCAAAGAAACAGTTGCACGCTTATTGAATTTTTTTTTTAACCGGATTCAGACTTGAATTTTTGTACAAAAACTGTTAAGCTGTTTAACTGTTTGAACATCAAATATCATTGTTTGTAGTTTTAAAAGTGATAATTACAAATTTCAATAAGCGAAATTTGTTGTTAATAGATGTTTTTAAATTAGTTATTTTGACGACATCTCGCTAAAGCTATGCCACATTTAATTATAAATCAAAAACTCACTATGCTGATTGATTAGCATACGAATGCTGATACGTGACATATAGAGGCGATCGAGAAAATATTGTATGGAACTCTCTGTCGGCGCATCGACATTGCCGCCCTCGTTCTCCTTCATCTCGATGACGCCCTGGGCCATCGTTTGCACAACATCATTGTGACGATTCCTAATGAGATCCAAGTTGTGCACAAATCTGCAAAAAAAAGGATGAGAAACCGATGGTTAGATAAACGTCAGGCATTGAGTGGATATGTCATATTTTGTTCACACTTTTGCAGGTTGTCATGAGTGGGTTCGATCTTCTCGTACTCCAGCACATCCTCGAAGCTCTTCACATACCAGGAGCTCACCTCGCTCACGGAACGCGTGTGCAGCAGATTATCGGGCAGCAATGCGATCTCCTTCATGATATTCGCCAGACGCACGGGCAGCTCCTTTCGCAGAAATATATACGATTTTTTCTCGCATGCATTTTGTCCTGCAATCGCAAAAAAGAGAGAAAGAGAGAGCCGCATTATTAACGTATGATTACATTAGCCAATCAATGACGAGATCTTGTCATATTTACAAAAAGCGACGCAGTTGCGTTGAGCATGCACTCAGTAAATGGGTCAGTTCTATTTGAACAAAAAGTTCATGATTACAAAATGCAAGCAAATGAAATTGAATCTCAATTTATAATTTTGTGAGGTTTGCATGTCAAACTGGCTTTTGTTTTGCTGCTCACATAAGTAATTAAACTTTTGTAAACAAGCTCGGTTCAAGAAACCAACCAGAATGTAATGCGATTTAGTCAACAAATTTGAACAAAGCCTCAAAAACTTTGCTCTTTTCACTTAATTTTTAGTTCGTTTGCTGATTACCAACCATTTCGTAACAAAAACAAAACATTGATGGAAAGCAGAATCGGGCGATTGGAACTGAAAGACTGATAAGCACAACGAACTCGACGGCCAGTCAAAAATTAATTAATCATGTATATACAGACATATATACATATTTACATACTAATTTTTAGCATTGCCCTTGAATTGGACAACGCCATCTGTTGTCAAAGTTCGCAAATAAGAGACACGCCTCTTTTTTTGTTTGTTTGATTGCCTTGGAGGAATTACTGATAAACTGCGAACCAGCGGCTTTGATAACAGACAACGAACAACGAGTGTCAAAAACATTTACAAAAGTTACCCGCAATTTCGACTTCAAGACGAAAACAAACCATAAATGCGTCTGCATAAATGTATAAAAGTTAGTTATAAAACGATAGCTTTGTCGGCCATTTTGCTGATGAGGCAATTGTAACGAATTCCGAAAACAAAACAGAATCAATAAAACGCGCAATAAAAACACAAGCGAGCAGCATAAAGCACAACAAAAGTTGCGCTCAAACAGGTTCCACTCACGAACCAAAATCATAACAAGCGACGACGTCAGCACTAGAATTTGCGAGAAACCGCCGGCTGTTTGTAGGGGGACGGTCACACTACACACATACACACACACATATACACATACCCACGCACGTTTGTGAGAGTGATAAGGGGAGTGAAAGAGCGATCAACAAAAGACACACGCGCGACGTCTTGGCACCGCCCCTCGCCCACCCGCTCATTCTAAAAGAGCCGCCAGCAGCTGACCTCAAAATAGACCTGTATTCACGGTTTGCTGTAGCCTTCCGCTTCTGCTGCTTGTTTACCGATGAGTCTGCACGAGTTTCTGTGTACGCGTTTTTTGTTGCTGTTTGCAATAAATATTTGGTGTGATTTGATCGGACGGTGTCTGGCACTTGTCAAGAACTTTGACGCATTGCTAGTGATAAGATGTGGACTCACTTTCGTTTACCTTGCAAATCGATAATCGTTTCTTAACACAGCAGCATTCAAATATATGGTGTGCACGGTAATTAAATTATTGAATTAGATATTAACAGGTGACAAGTGCGAGCACGTCACGAATTCAATTGAACATTTCTTCTCATTATCACCCACCAATTACTCAATTGTATTTGCTCTCATTATCCGTTTAGTCATTTAGCACTCTATTACTCAATCACTTTGCGGTCAGTGCTGACAAATGCAATCAATTATTTACAGCTGCACGCAATTTCTTAATACGCGGAGACAGCCCACACAAGCCCAAGGTCAGCAATAGTCACTCCTAGTCACTCCAAGTGAGACAGACAACTTAAGGGCGCACAGTGGAAGGAAATGCGTATGTTGTTATTGCAATTACTCGAGCACTATTCTATTTCAATAGCATTTACTTCAGGACAGGGCGTGACGTCACTACAGAAGGGCACACCCCCAGTTGACATCTTGGTCTATTGCATCAGCATTTTAGATATCCAATATTGAGCGACTCTCTCTCTCTCTCTCACAACATCTTTGCCTATACTTGACTCACATTTGCCATTGCCTTTCGTCGCTACCGCCGACAAACGTCAGAGACAAACATACATAAACATATGTATATGTATATACCGAAAGCAAAAGAATCAAACAAAAACAAATAACAACAACTGAATGATGGACTCTGAGTTGCTACTCAAAATAAAAATTTGCATGAAAAATAAAGCAAACGGATCGAATTCGCATATTAAACGAAAAAAAAAACTTAATATTTGACAAAAATAAAATAAAATAAAAAACAAGCTTCTAAGTTATATATGAAAAGCGAGCATAGAATGGTTTTGGTTGAACCATCATCCTAATATACCCAGCAGTCGGCAGGGGCAAAGTCTGCAGCGCGTGTGGCTGTCATTATAATCACGAGAATTGAGAAAACACGGGGGTGTTTTGAATGCTTCTTTTTATCTATTGCTTCGCTGTTTTGTGCTCTCCGTTTTTTGGGTTAAGTTCTGACGGCTTCACTTTGTTTTGTTTGTTTGTTTTTCATATTTTTGGCTGTCTTCAAACGTTGGACGGTTCCAAAGTACATGATTCCCTGGCTATCTATAGATATAATTAAGCATTGCGAATTTCCTCCGATGGTCAATACGCATAAAGCATGGGGTATATGTACTTATTGGAAACGTGAAAAATTTTCCATTTCAAAATACTCGTGTTGCTTGTTCTATATATAAAAATATCAACTTTTTGTCACAGTTATTTTTTAATTTTTGTTCTTGATAAATTTATACTATAAAATATTTTTTTGAGGCCCACGCAGCAATTGGCACATGATCAGCTATGGTTTGGTTTTGGGGTAGAGCAAGGGGAAGGGGGGCCCCTCATAATCAAAATAAACGCATGTGGATTTCAAGATATCATATACACTTAATATTGCACTGACATATTGTTTTTATTCGGGTTGTTCAGCTGATAGGGATAGTGATTAGGGACCACAAACAAAAGTAAATAATATAGTTGAATGTGGCGAAAGTTAAAGGTAATAATTAGCAGCTAGCTGAAGTGGGCCTCTTGTTATTGTAAAAATATGATAACGAAATATTAATTTTTCGCACATAACATACATATGTCTGCCATATAATACAATGGCATTGTGGGTGGTCCGATGTGAATTTTAGCGATGTTCGAGTTTTAGTACAGCTTCGTTGATATGATATATGTACATATATGTATATTTACAGCTGGGGAGGCATTTTCCATGAAAATACTTTCAAACACAACAAAGCCCAAGTACAGTTGGCACCAAAAGCAGCTCAAATCTTATCGCTCGCATCAAAGTTCAACTACTAACAAACATATACAGTATTGAATTTAGTAGAAAAGCCTTTACTAATTCTGTTTGCACATCATAAAGGCCAAAAACCAAAACAACAAAGATAATAAGAACAATGGATATATAAACTGGTAGTACTGAAGTACTATAGTTAAATGGTATAATGATAATAAGGTTGAATATGTTGAAGCCTGTTTCGTAATTTTAATTCTATTAATAAACACAAAACATGGCAGCCCTAGTCCCCGCCTTCCTCGGCTAATAAAACCTTGACTTGCCTCCCTTCGGCGTGTGTCGCTATATATAGCCCTTAATGGCACAGTTGTCTTCTCCTTTTCTAAATTTTGCTGGATCCTAGCCACTTGCTCCTCCCTCCTTCCCCACCACACTCCCTTCCAAGACAGTTGCTATTTGTGACATTGGTGAAGAGAGTTAACAACAGGCCTCTGCTGTTGAAATTGGTTTTATATATATAATCTGACTTAAATGGGGATATTCAATGTATGATTTATGGTTCCCTTATTTTTTTTTAAATCGTATGTAATCAATTCCTATGCAATTTCCTATATTTGTTGGGGATTTTTAATACATTTTTTCTTATTATGTTATCTTATGAATACATTTTCTTTTTTTTCTGTTATTTCTTTTGCACAACTGGGTTATATTAATTACTGATAAACAATATAATGCAATATATATATATATAGTATATGTATATTTTAGTACTGATTTGAAGGGGAATGCTTTTATTCTAGTATACATCATTTTATATCATATTGTTTTGCTTTACCAGAAAAATGTGTGATTGTCACGATAGTTAATTAAAACTGCGCAAATTAACTGCAAGTTATAGGGTATCACGTAGTGCACATTTTACATATTCTTGCGCTTTTGTTTTGGGGCATGTTAAGACGCAGGTTAAAACATTCTTATAAATATTAATGGAGACACACAGGTTTGTCTATATCAATATGTATGTGTATATAAAGCAGTTGTCTATTTAACTGACATTGAAGCGTCCTTGGGCAGCACGTGCCATTTGCCAGTTGCAACTGGTGGGCGGTCTGCGAAGAAGAGTGTGCAACCGGAAGGATGACGACTTGCAGCAAAAGTATAATATTTCATTGTCATTTATTGTTGACGGCCAATGAGAAATATGTTTGTTTGTTTAAACTTCCGGTTTTAATATATCTATGTATGAGTTTAGTTTCTCATTTAAAGCCGCATTGAAGCTTGCAATTGAGTTGGCTATTAAGCTTTTACTCGCTTATTCTCCCTCTCTCTCTCTTTCTCTCCCTCTCACTGTGTCACTCTGCATAATCAACAGTTTTGTGTTTTTTTTTGTTTGGCGGCGGCGACCCGGCTCGGACAGTAAAAATGCTTAATTGACAATTCAATGAAACTAAATTAGGTATGTACATTTTAGATAGCGGTGAATTTGCGCAGTACAGCTACACACACACATACACACACAAACCCATTCATATAAGCATAGAAGCTGCTAAGTCACGTATTAACATTATTGTAATCTCTTTGCTGTAAGCTTAACATACTCATATATTTTACATGTTGGACACATTAATAGATTCTCACACTGTTATCATGTTACGCAACACAAATACAGCAAAATCGTCGAGATCAATTAAATGATTTGCTAGCATTCACGAGTTTACGACACAAAGGCATCAAATGTTCTATGGTTATTGCATTGCGATTAAAACAATAACTAATTGTTCAAATTACGATAGTGACACAATGTTTATATATATATATATAGATATACATATTTTGGAGTACACTTATGGCTTTTGAGTGAGGGTTTTGGGAGGAGGAGGGGGAAGAGAGCGCCACCTATCGGAAACCGGCAAGGACATTTTTATTTTTAAATGCTTACCAAAGTCCATAAATTGTTTTATTGACAGCGGCGACGGATTGAAGCCTGAATAAAAGTCCAGCATTTTGGCCAGGTTCGACATGGACGACGAGATGGCCGAGAGACGCACGGGAAAAATACGCATTTTGAGTGTTTTTATTGTTACTTTGAATGCCGCTTGGGGGGTTTTACTTCAGTTGTTCTCGACCCACTGTGCGGTTAGCTGTTTATTTATCCAATCAGGTATATTTTATACGCTTCGGTTGGCTTAAGAGAGTAATATTTTTTTAGCGGTCGGTAGGCTCAGTGTCCTTCGCTCACCTTCAGCAGCCTAGGACGACGGCGCACATAACCCAACTTATTTTAATTGGGCAGCAGGACGTTGGCCTTTCTCTTTTTCTTGTTTTTAGTGAGCTTTTTATTTGTTCCGAACAGCTGGCAACGTCTGAAAGCAATTGTTGTTGTTGGTGTTGGCTTTTCAGTTCATATGCAGCACAATAAATCAATTGTGCTTTAAAAGGCTTTTAGCATTTAGGGTACAAATGTGTAGCAAAATATTTGTATTTATATAAATCGCAATTAGTTTTGTAGCTTTTGCTTTCTGTTAGCTGCTGCTTCTTGCTTCCTTGTTATTATTGTTCTTGTGGTATTTCTCGGCAGTTTCTGTGGATTTGTGTCGCTGATGCGCCATAAAAGCGTTTTTATTATGCAGTTGCAGGTGAATAACGCCCAATTGGAGTCCGGACTTGCCACACTATGCGACTGATTTGTGCGCCACGCGTTTCATAACAGCGTTAACTGAGCTATTTATTTACTTTCTTTACGTTCTAGATGATGTCGTTTTCGTCGTTGTTATTGCAGCGCTCTGCGTCGACTAACTCAGACGACAGCCCCGTATGGTCTCAATAGTATGCTCACCGAATCGAGAGACTGTTCGAGAGCACGGCGCGTATTGCTCATTTTATAGGCGCGCTCCAAAATTTGTTTGTGTGTGTGTGTATGGGCCTGATGTTCAGCTGGAGGCTTGTGTGGATAAGCTATTAATGTGTGACCATAGTTTGTCAAAGTGAAAAATGCTCTCGTTTCGATAGAAATATACCAACACTCTTGTTATCGGCTGGCCACCTCAATACTTAATTGCCAAATGAGCGTGACTGGCACATACTCTGTATTCATTTACTAAAATTCGTATTTACTAAACGATTAAGTAATAAATGCGTTAATGCGTGTGTTTTCATTTTTATTGATACCCTTATAAATGTAATAGATAAATATTCATAAGTTACAGCATATACAAATGTAATTTGAAATTATTCCAATTGAATTGCAATAATATTCAAGACCTTAACGCTTTTTTTTGATGCACAACGCTCGCTTATAATGCTTACAAGCATGAAGCGTTGCGTGCGAATCATTCCATAAAAAATTCGTATTACATAAAAGTAAATTTTGAAAATTCACAAAACAAATCATAAATCTCTGAATATTCCCATTCTTTACATGCTTTAAATATATATGTATATATACTATATAAACCAACTACAGATATTTAATTTGTTGCTGCTGCTGCTGATGCTCCGTTGCTATAAAGAAGTTTGTTAGACAAATTTACAAGCACACAATTTCAAACTCAAATCGAGCTGTGCGTAAATGATATATGTACTACATATACTACTGTAGATCTGAATATATGGTTCCTTGGAGGCCAGAATTGGAAGTTGGTTAGATGCCTGTTTGCTTTTGTTTTTTTTCTTTTTCTTTTCTTATTTTTGACCTGTTTCTGCCTTGATTTGGTTTTACTTATGTATGCATGTAGGACTAAGGAGTATCGTTAACATTTCTCTCTTTCTGGCTAATTTAAATGTTTTTCGTTTTCGTTTTTGTTTTTTCTTTAAATATGTATATATGTAGTATGATATATATAATATGTATATTTTAAGACTATAACTAAATTTGTGTTAACAAAAAACAATGCATAAAAATTATAACAAATTTGTAAATGGAAATACAATTTTAGTTTCTACTGTATGTATGTGTGTGTGTGTGAGCTGGTTTTTTTTTAAGGAACATGACAACAATATAGTGTAGGTGTGTGTGGGTATGTGTGTGAGTGCGATGTGAAGCTAGCAAAGAAATTGGAAAACGCTGCACAGATTTTACCATAGCATACATATATAAATGTGAATAATCTGTTATATACACACACATATATATATATATATATAACGTAAATATTCCTATTATGCATATATAAAACATATATATAAATATATATTTTTCGCTTAGCACACACATATAGTATAGTAATATACATATATATATATATATATGCATATATATATATGCTGATGTGGCGGTCTACCGATCTTCCAGCCACACACACTTACTCACAGGATCAGTAGACAAAACGATTCATGTTCATGGCCAGATCGGGGCCACCACAGCCGCCAGCTGGCGGCGGCGACTGGTCATCCTCGTCGTCGCCGTCGTAGCCGTTCCTTGTCATCGTCCCATTGCTGCTGACATTGTTGCGCTTGGCGTTGCGCTTGAACCGCTGCATCTTCAGCTCCTCGTTGTAGTCGCGATTATCCTGCTTGACATAGTCGCGCAACGTGCGCGGCAGCTCGTCGAGCGTCAGTGGTGGGATCAGCGGCACCGGCACCATCGGATGCATTGGTCCATCGGGCGCCGTTTCTGTCGATCGGCCGCACATCTGATAGAACAATATGTACGGAGTATTCGGCGAGGTGAGGCTGTGCATCTCCTGTGGCTTCGAGTTGGTCACCAGACTGTCATTGAATTTGAACCAATTCTTCGACTGATCCGCGGCAAACGTGAAATAATGACCTGAATCCATGCTGTAGCCGGCGTGCACCACACCCGCATATAGATCATAGTGCACCGTGCACGTCTCCTGCAGTGAGTCCGTGGAGCACACCTTGACGTTCACCTGGACAAATTTAAAGAGATTTATCAAATAAAATTCAATTGAATTGAATTCACTTACGCTCTCATCGTGGAACACCTTGTGCATGAGCTTGGTGCGAAAATGGTACTTCTGATCGTACTTGAACTGCTTCAGCGTGAGGATGAGATTGCGGGGCGCCTGGGTGATCCCGATGCGCCGCTCGGCATCGCAGAGTTTCTTGCAGCGCGGACAGAAGTACTGATTGTCGCCGTCGAGTTTCTCGGGCGAGCAGTAGTAATCGATTAGGTCTTGCACCGAGTAATTGGCTGCGCCACAGTCGTCCTTGTCATCCGGAAATGAGAGTTGCAGCTCCCGGAAGCTATCCTCGTTGCGACTCTCCCAGCCGCAGTTCAGGCATTTGTACGTCGTCGACAATTTGCCGGCGAACGTTTTATCGATGGTCGACGGCGGCTTCTTCTGCTGTGCATTGGTGGGCGTAGCTGTGGGCGTGGCTGGGCTGATAGCCCCGGGTGCATTTGGCCTCGAATTGTGCACGGCACAGATCTCATGATCGTTGCTATTGTAGGGTATTACGCCAGCGGCCACTATCTCATCCGTTAGGGAGGCAGCCGGTTCGCTGGCATCCTTCAACTCTTTGGCCTGGTGGCCTCCAACAACATCCGTGTCCATGTGCTGCAGATTGTGCGCCCCGCTATTGATCTCATGCTCATGCAACAGATCCAGCAAATAGCCTAGGAACTCCGAGCTGTCCTGCTGCAGTCCGGGCGTAAAGCCCGGCGGACGTGTCGCCTTCAACACACGCGACGGCGTCAGCTCGTAACGCATCGAATGATGCATCAACGCAATCTGCTGCTGCACCTTCAGCAGCAGCAACGAGCCGCTCTCAATCAGTAGAATCTGACGCACAAAACTGCAAATTACAAAATCCGTAGAAAATTAACATTTAATTGGAATTCGTTTGTTAATAGCGAGACTTACTCGCTGGTCATGGCCAGTGCTTGGAGCACACTGTTCATATAGCAGGTGTTGCCCAGATTGACCAGACCGACCCGGGCGTTGCGTGGCAGGGCATTCTCGAAGAGGGCACGGGCAAGGACGACACAGTTCTGCGACGGCTCGTACATTTGGAGGGCGGCCTTGATGGGCGCGTAGAGCTCATCGTTGTCGTAGAAGCGCATCATCAGCGCATTGGTCAGATCGACCATTTTTTGCAAATAGGACGATTCATCCATGCTATTCGATTGATTCTTCAAAGAGTTTATCACCGGCGGTATCTTTGGCAATATCTGAAAAGTTATTTAATATAGAATTTGAAGTGAGATGAATATGAATAGTTGTGGTTTGGAGGGGGTTCAAAGGAATCCTTTGCTCGCTCACCTTGTGGAATATCTCCGGCGCCTGATTGATGGTTGAGAGCATGTGAAAGACAACAGGCGCCACTTTGGGTCGCATTGCGGGTAAGATCATTGGCCAGAACAGCATCTCGATGTTGTCCAATGCAATCTCGTCGAGCAGCAGATATTTCTCCTGTTCGCGCAGTCCCTGCAACAGCGCCATTATCCACAGATTGAGATTCTGGCAAAAGTTGCAGAAACATATCCACTTGCAGAGCAAGCCCACCGTTTTGCGTATGCTGTCATCCTGCACATCCTGATCGAGCAGCGACTGCACCGCCTCAATGATCAGGTCCGGACTGAACAGCTGAAAGACAATCGCAACGGCACAGGAGGGCTCGTAGGCGGTTTCGGTGATCAGTTGGTAGACGATGCGCAGATAGAACATCAGATAGCTCTTCTTGTTGGGCATCGCCAGATAGTTGCCCACCTTGTTGATCTCCTCCTTGAAACGCTTCAGATCCTCGGGCTTGGTGCTCATCGGCATGCGCGCCAACTTGCAGATGACATGATGATAGATCACCAGCGTCGCCTGCTGCTCCTCCGGATTGATGATCTGCATGATCCGCAGCAGTGCCTTAATATCATGCTGTCTATCCGATGAATCGGAGCCGCCTGCTTTTGGCGATGCATCGCTCCCATTGGAGGCATCATTGGAACCGCCGCCTTTGTCTGAGATATTGTTGTTGCTGCCCGGCACGTTTGACGTTGATGTTGCTGTTGCAGGATCCGCTCCTGCTCCTCCTCCTCCGCCCGGTGCACCATCATTTTGCTGTTCGGTGTTGTTTTGCTTGACGGCCATTTCAAAGGCGGCTGCCGCTAATTGTTGCTTCTGTTGGTGTCGGCGTTGAAGTTGTTGTTTCTGTTGCCGCCAGCGACGGAGCAATTGTGATTTGTGCCTCTTGAGTGGGGGATGCGGTGGCTTGGAGTTGGCGCGGGCGCTGCGGCTGTTGCGTGACCTGCGGGAGCACTGGGTGCGCAGTCGCCGCGTGTCCTTGTGCCTGCTGCCGTTGCGAGTCGTCTTTACTGCTTTTGACCAACGCAGCAACTATTTATCTAAACAAACAACAACAACAATAATCAGCAGTAGCAGCAGCAGCAGCCATTCAACAATGCGCCCAGATCCAACCACCCAAATGAGAGGAGGACTCCGCTGGTCTCCACCAAATTGTTGAATTATTTGTTTTTTTTTTTGGTGGCACACACACTTCCCCACACGCACACACGCGAAGAAGCGAAGAAAAATACTGTGCGACGACGCTCGCTTTTGTTTTTAGCTCAATTTCCGTTTGTCACTGCCGACCTTCTTTTTCTCAATTATATATTTTGATTTGCTGTTGTCTCTGCTGTTTTTGACTTGCTCTCGCACACTGGGAGTACAATTAGATAGTTCTTTGTCTATGTTTACTATAATTTTGACTGTGTTTAACAAATTTATTGTGAGTTTTTCAGCTTTTCTGTTAATGTTGAGGCTACTGAGTCAGTGAAAGCAACGTAGACACGTTCAATCTGCATGATAGCGCAGCCAGGGCTGCCACACGAGAATTACACAAGTTAGGTCAGTGTGCCCCAATATGATGAGCATTGTTTACCACTGAAAATAAAAATCGTTGCATCACTCTGTCAATTCATCACAATATATCGCACATCAGCTGTGCTTTGCAAAATAATATCGATACATCGTTGCATCGATACATCGATGCTTTTGCACATTTATTGTTTACCTTTTTTGTGCGTGGCTGTTGTCGTAGTTTTTCACATAGCGGCAGCTTACTTTCCCAAATAAACACGTCAATAAGTATAAATTTTTTTTTTAAAGCGCCGTAAGATGCATCCAGGGCAGATTGATGTCAATGAAATTACGGGCTATTGGTCATTTCTTATGAGCGTAAGTGTGCAAAATGAATTACCATTATAAAATTTGCTGACCCATGTTTTCAGATCGATTGGAAGGATCCGTGGCTTATCGGATTAATATTGCTGCACGTGCTGACGACGAGTACGGCTCTGCTCACCCGTAACAATGCAAATTTCCAAGTTTTTCTCTTTCTCGTGCTCTGTGAGTATATGAAGTCCTTATATATTTGATAGTTACTTATTTGTGTCTCTCTTTTTGTAATCAGTGACTGTAGTTTATTTCTCGGAGAGCATCAATGAATATGCAGCTCTGAATTGGAAAACATTCTCCAAGCAGCAATATTTTGATAGCAACGGCCTGTTTATCTCGACGGTATTCTCCATTCCAATACTGCTCAACTGCATGCTACTGATCGTGAGTAAACAAATTATGGCTGGCGATATGTGTTTGTTAAATGCTTATAATATTTATAATTATGCAGGGTACTTGGCTGTACAACTCAACACAAATGATGGCCACGTTGAAGACAGCCCAGCTGCGGGAGAAGGTGCGCCAGCGCAATAGTGCGACAAGAACGCTCATAAGCACGGATACTCCTCTGAAGGAGGATTAGTCATAGGGAATTACTCAATTATTCAAGCAGGCGAAGCCATGTAGCGTGTATTTTGCATCAGGTGTATATTTGTTTGTATAACATGCCAAGTTCAATATTTTTTTGTCATAAAGTGTTGTCCCGCCCCCTAATTGTACTAATAAAACAGCTAGAGTAGCTATTTAAAATCAAAATTCTATTAATTTTGATAATAGATTTAAATTAAAGCCGTTGCCGGTGAATTGGTATTTTGCCAATTGCCTGGTATTTGGTATTTTTGGCGCATACGGTCTCACTTGCACGCTTGGCTTGCAGATATTTGAGTGCTTGCCATGCGCTGGTTACACTGGCCAGTCGGTGGTTGAAATTAGTCAAGTGCAGCAGCGGGCGACGTGTTTTTTACCGCTGCGTAAACAAAATTTTGTGATAAGATATATATCTAAGCGGACAGCTACCAAACAAAATAAAACGCGACTTAACTGTATGTGTGTATGCGAAACTACTGTACACGAGTGCAAGGCAGATCAACGAGGGCGGATTAAAACTCACACGCACTGCGCCCCAGCTTACGACGAAGCTGTGTTTTGTTAGTATATGTGCCCAAGTGTTTATGTGTGTGTGTGTATGTGTGTGTGTGAGTGAGTGTGCGTGCGTGCTTGCGGTTGTGTGTGTGTGTGTGCGTCTCGGGCAGCAAAACCAAGTCGAAGATAGCCCGAAAACAGAAGTTGTCTGTCTGTCAACATTTTTTACAAGGCCAAAGTCAGCAGTGCAAAAGGGCCGCAAGTGAAACATAAAAAATAAACAGGTGAAAAATATATAGAATACATTTAAGCACAGCTCAAAGAACAAGAAGAAGAAGAGGCGACCAACTTCAGAAGCAAAGGGCAAAATACCAACAGAAAATCTGGTCGCAAGTCGAAAGTGACGCATAAAAACCAGAACCAAATTATAATAATAAAAAAGGTAAACAACAAACACAACTAAACTGAAATCAGCAACAAAAAAAAGAAACCCAACCACAATTTTTGCGTTGATTTCTCGTAGTTTTCTTTAACGCCAAATGTTCATTCATAAAAACGCGACACGAAATGTGGCGACATAGCAGCTGGCACCCTTTACACCCCACACCCCCACCACAAACCCCGCCCAGCCCACAACCCCCTCGCGTCTTGTCTGTGGCACGCTTACACATTTTTGTGGTCGCTTTTTGCTATTTTTCTTCTTCTTTTTTTGTGCTCTTGTAAATCAAACCGAATGCAAATGATTTTAATTATTTACTGCCCCTGCTCCTGCTCCTGCACCTGCCACTGCAGTTGTTATTTATTTTCAAAGACATTCCGTAATTTAATGAGTTGTATTTGTTTCTATTTTGTTTTTGCGGTTTGTTTGGGGTTTAGTTTCGTATGTCATTGATTGTTTTAATTTGCAATTTTTGTTTGCCTTTGCGATCGATGGATTAGATCAGATCGCTCTCTAAATATGGCACAAGTCTCTATAGTATTAGACACACACATGTTTATATATATATATATATATATTTATTTATATATATGTGTGTATTTGTATGTAGTTCCAGTTGTTTTGCGTCTGCGTTTCTACCAATTGGCATGATATCATTGATGACCTTATAAGCAGATGCAATGCTGCTAAATCTTAAATGTATTTTACCGGAATTAACTTTTATTGTTTACCTATTCCAGGTTTTATTTATTTTTATTAAATCTAAAAGGTTCTCTTTAGGCGTTATATTCCAAAATCGAGATAAAATGTATTATTACTTTTATAAATGAATTAATCAAGAATATTATTATATATAATATGTTATTATATCAGAGCCTTAACACATCTATGATTGTGATGGATGGTTCGTTAAGAACATGCTCGAATATCCGAGCGCAATTAAGCCTATCCTAAAACATACTTATTTGTATTCTATATCTTATCTATTATTGAAATCTTGATAACATCCAATTAATGGCCTCAAATTGATGGCCCACTATTGAACTGTGCGCGCATTAAAGTCGCTGAAATGCCAAAAGCAAAGCAAGCCAAAGCAAAGCAAAATAAATAAATAAATACTTATGTGTATATAAAAAACAATCAAAATAACTCGGTGACATCATTTTGACTAATCGCCAATTTTAGCATTTGAAAAACGGCGGCTGCTGCTCACCGACGAACCGTAGGGAGTGTAAGGCGGGGGGGTATATGATGAGCGGAGGCGGGGGCGGGGGCGGGGTCGGGTGCTGCGACTGTGGCTGTGGTTGAACGTCTAATGGTTCTGGGTGCTACGCCCGCTAGTCGACGACACGGCTCGTCTCGTTTCTGGGGAAGCAGGTGCCCGGGGTCCGAAGCAGAAGCAGAAGCGAGCCCAAGCCGAGCTCAGCCGAAGCAGAGTCAAGCTGCCCACAAGCCGAGCTGCCCACGAGCCGAGGCGATCTATCTCTCTCTCTCTCTCTACCTTTCTCTCTCTCTGTCTTCCTCCCTGTTGGGGTCTGTAAGTACTTGAGTAATTGATAATAGAAAATTTCACTTTCAGCACGAAATTGTCTATGAATGATTTGCATTTTCAATGAATTACGACGAGTGCTTTAAGTGAATGACACGTTGATCTTGATTTCCATACAAAGTTTTAGCGTAGTCGATTACAAGTAGATGGATGACAAATCCAGCACCGAAACAATATATCAATGTAATAAGGAATGCTACAAAATTGCATTGAAATTGTGCAGTATTATGCAAAAAGTGAATACATAAATAATTTATATTGTGCTAAACTAAAAAGGTTTCTTGTAATCGAGATCATCTTTGGGGCGGGGCATAAAACAGCTTAAAAATAGCCACTGCGCGGGAGACACGTAAGTGGCCGGGAGGAGGGGGGGAAGGTACAAGCTTTACGCTTCACTAGCTGGCAGCAAACTCGTTAAGCCGCCTGTAATGGATTCGGAACGACGCTATACATGATTGACTCTCAGCATTCATCGTTCAACTTCAGAGCGGGAATCGGGAGGGGGCTGGTGGTTTGCGGTGGTCGGTAAATGCGATTACGGCATAAGCGATAAATTTTATTCCATTTTGCGTGTTGTTGTTGTTGTTGTTGTCTTTAAACTAATTAAAGCCATTCTCAATTGTGGCGCCCTCGCAGCAATGGATGCGACACCTACAGCATTGGAGGGAGCCTGCCGACAGCAACTCAAACACCCCTAACACAAAAGCGACTTCAAAGCAATTGTTGAATTACCCTCGTGGCCCCCAAAAGGGTTAATTGTCTGACCCTTCACCCCACTCTCTCTCTCTCTCACTCTCTCTCTCTCTGCCTCTCTCTTTGCTTTGGCGGCTTCTCTTTCGCTTTGCTTGTGGCTGAGAATGTTTTTCTTTTGATGAGATTTTTCCATTTTTCACCGCATAAATATTCTTTGTCTTGGGCTTCACGGACTCTTTGTTTTTTTGGGCACAATGCTTACAGCCAGCGTTTGTTTATGTTGCTATTGTTGTTGTTATTGCTGTTTCTATTGTTGTTGCCATTGTTGTTGTTATTGTTGTCGTGGGTGCGCTCCCAATTACCAAGTGTTTGTCTATCTCTTTCTGGCTACGGTGTGCGTTTGCTGCTTGTGCTTCAACATTTTCTATGTCACGCCTCATTTAGCTTTCCACAACAACTGAACTGAACTCAACTAACGTTAACTGCCTCCTCTGCCCCGTGCCCCGGGCCCCGTGCCCCTTGCCCCACTACCCCACTCTAAGCCACCGTGTCGCACCCCCTCGACGTGTCACACGAAATTGTATGTGGAGCATGTTCTCTTACCGTTTTGTTTTTTTTTACTTGCCTCTTGGCCAGATTTCAAAATGCACAATTTATTCGCCAGCTGTCACAGAATTAGCTCGGAGAAGAAGAGGTGGTAAGTTTGTGTTTCTGTTTCTGTTTCGGTTTCTGTTTCTGTTTCGGTTTCGGTTTCTGTTTCCGTTTTAGTCGCTTTATGTTGCTAAAGTGTAGTATCTGTGAACTAGATCAAAAGACTTTATTGCGGTCATCATGATTTCGTTCTATTTCGTATCAACTTCAATTAGTCTCAAACATGATGACAGTCGAGGGTGCTGCAACTTGAATGCTGCTGCAGCTGCAGCTGCAACCAAACTTGTCTAAAGATAAGGAAATATTCTAAGGGGGACTTACCCACACAAATTGCTGAAAAATATGCTGATTATAATAATATAATCCAATCATATTTTCATTTCATTTAATATTTACCATAAATATTGAATAATAATAACAAAATAAATTCAAGAATATATTTATTTGATTTTTTCAAATAATATTGCTTCGGCTTAAGCTAAATTAATTTCTGGCAGCAAATTTGTTATTCGCTTTGTGAATTTGATATGTGTGATGGGAAGATTTAAGAATGGATTTCAAATGAAAATCAAAATCGAAATCGAAATCGAACTACTTCAAATGATATTCATATAAAATGTCGATTCCGCAATAAGCACGCAACAACATCTGTTTAATGTGTTACACTGTTTAATGAGTTGATTACGAAGTGGAATTGCTTTGATATTTTCACAGATGTGATTACGTAAATACGCGCTTAAAATGTATATAAATGCGGTTTATTGCTCGCACAATAAACAATGCGTAAATGAGAATGAGAATGCATAAACAATTGGCCATAATCCGTGTTTATATATTGGCTTTGTCCGTTATCTTGTGAGGATGTGCGAAAATCCGTTCCACTTGCCAAACGTGCACGTAATTTAATTAAATGTATCTGAAAGATACAATTTGGGCTGGCGCAGTCAAATAGCCTTGCATTTAATGCATATTGATTTGCTTGACATGGTCAATAATGCCCCACAGACGCTGCTTATTGTTTATATATATGTATATATTATATGTGTATAATGTGTGTGACAGCCGCATTTTAAATCCCATTATGTATTTATGCAAAGCGAGCAGAACAGCAACGAAACGAAAACGAAACCAAACAAACAGACTTTGGTAATCAAATGTGCTGGTATTTTACTATTGGTATTTTTCTTTGGCAAACGTTCTATTTGTCAGCTTCTTCTTCTTCTTCTTCTTCTTCTTGTTCTTGTTCTGCTGCTGGCTGTTCTTTGCCATATTCTTATTGCCACATTGCCCGCTGTCGCAAGGTCTTCGCACCTTCGCAGCTTGCCACCACACCCACTCACACCTTTGCTTGACGCGCATTTCTTTTTCATCTGAAATATGGTCGTAACTCTCTAACAAATAGCGAATTGTATTTTTTGGTTACAAATTTAGGTAACCATAATTGTCAAAGCTGGCTTTATTAAACTTCAAAGCATTCAAAGTCTCTTTTTGCTTATGGCAAATGTGTCTTTGACCATATTGCAAAATCGCTTCAACTTTGTATCTAAGCTTCTCAGCGCTTATGCAATTTTCTTCTTCGTTTGTCTTGCCCAGTTGGCTAACGAAATAAGCTCCTTATCGGCTGCTGCTGCTGCTGCTGCTGCTGCTGCTGCTGCTGCTGCTGCAGATCGTTATCAACGCACCACTGATAATCGCGTTTATGGCACTTGACAAATACGAGCACACAAATTCCAAACTGCTCAACAAAAAAAAAAACCAAAAAAAGAAGAAAAAATATAGAAAAAAGAAAAATATTCTGTCTACTCACGGTTTGTGTTGGGGTGGGTTGGTTAGGTGCTCTGACTCTCCTAATGTATCGTCAAATTGGAAAAACTGCCCACGACCAGTGTCAAAATGTAAGAAAAATATTTGTCTTCCATGACGCAAGACACATTTGGGGTTTTGTGGTCGGGGAGGGGAATATGGGGCGCCGCCACTTGGCAATCCTCATCGCGTGGGCCGATGACGACGATGTGAATGCTGCGATTGCACTTCTCAACTTCATATATGTACTATTAATATATAAAAATACACATGTATGGCATATACGAGTATATATGTATATGCTATA